AAAAAAAAAAAAAAGAAAAGAAAAAAAGAAATCTAACTCACTTCTGGGATTTATTTTCCTAGAAAATGAATTTTACAATATTATTATGGTCAGGATTGTCTTCTTCATCTCACAATGCATGAGGGACTAGTCCTACATAGCCTTCTTGACAACTAGGAATGGGTGAGCCATGATGGCTCATGTCTATAATCCTAGCATTGTAGGAGACCAAAGTAGGGGATTTGCTTGAGGCTGAGAGTCCAAACCAGCCTAACCAACAAAACCAGACCCTGTCTCTACAAAATAGAGAAATTAGCTGGATGTGGTAGCTTGCTGGGGCCCCCAGCTATAAGGAAGGGATTAAGCAGGAAGATCACTTAAGCTTAAGAGTTTGAGGCTGCAGTGAACTGAGATGATGCCACTATACTGTAGTCCAAGCAACAGAGCAAGAGAAAAAAGGAAAACTAGGAACGATTAGTTAGGGATCCTCCATACAGCTATGACAAACTGCATTAAGATTATTTTTTGGAGACCATTACATAGGCTGTTAAGGAGCTCAAAAGACCATCTACTCATTGATAAAAAAATAATTATATTTGATCATCGTATTTGTGGTTTAGTTTCCCCTAAAGCATAGTTAATTATAAGGAAAACATATCAGTTAACTTAATCTCTCCAATTTCTCTAAACTAGAATTAAAATACAACAAAACAAATAAAACCAACCTTGATAGCAGAAAATACAAATGAGCATCACAATAAAAAAAACTGACAGGCCCTTCATTGGCACTCGATTGGCCATTAACTGTGTATGCACATGCCAACTCTCCTAAGGGAAAGGGGTGAAGTCCTAAAAAGAGGCTAAGATGCATGTACTCTGGTAGTTGATATAGGAAAATATCTTTTTTTTTCCTAGACAGAGTCTCACTATGTCGCTCTGAGTAGAGTTGCCATGGCATTACGGCTCACAGCAACCTCAAACCATTGGGCTTAAGTGATTCTTTGCCTCAGCCTCCTAAGTAGCTAGGACTATAGGCGCCTGACACAACACCCAGCTATTTTCTTGTTGCAGTTGTTTTAGCTGGCCCAGGCCAGGTTCAAACCTGCCACTGTTGGTGTATGTGGCTGGTGCTGTAACTACTGTATTACAGGCGCAGAGTCAATGGAAGAAAATATCTTAAAACGAATGATGAATTATTTAGGGTACAAAGAATGATGACATCTTTAAACTTACTTTGAAATCATTCAACAAAAATAACATAATAAAAATATTAATCAGAATAGCTACATAAATATGCTAAGGCTGAACCTAATTGGTAAGTATACAGGATTTCACAGTGCTA